TGGGTAGAGTGCGAGTGGGCAAACGGATGGATGCTACATAAAACAGCTTAAGCAACAACAACAACAACAACAACAACAAAATTTTAATAATAATCACAACAATACAAGTTTTATACACTCGAATGCTAAAACTTATTAACGGAAACTGCAGGAAGAAGAAACCAAATGAAAAAGCATAAGCAAAAGCAAAAGAGATAGTCAAAATATATGCCGGAAACGGAAGTAGCTACTATTTGCAAGCACCATTACATAGTTGTGAATGTAGTGTACACTGGGTAGTCTGGTGTAGCGTACCGTAGCGTAGTGTAGTGTAGTGTAGTGTTATAGTAACTTTATTAGTACACCGAAATAAAATAGTCGAACACTGTGTGCAGCAAACACACTTCAACTTACGTCATACATAAACAAAGGAAGAAATTGCTGTAATAGTAAAACATACAAAATTACGATTGTGCTTTATGTCAAATGATCCAATGGCATCAAATCCAGAAATGCACAAAAAAAAAAAACAAAAAAACAAAAACAAACGAAAGAAAAATAAAAGAAAAAGGAAAACAAAAACAAAAACACGAAAATAAAAAATATTACAATGCAAAGTGAACACTAAGAAAACTCAGCACCAACAACAACAATAAGTACATGTGCAAAAGTACAAAAATAACAACAACAATAGCAGCGCCACACGTCTGGTGTAAAAATTTACATTTTTATTAGAATTTGTGCTTTGTTTAGCTGATGTTGTTGTACGTTTACTTTTTGTTTATGCATGTTATTTTGTTGCTATTGTTGCTGCTCTTGCTTTTTTGTCTTTTGTTTTTAGTTTTTTGTTTTTTTACATATACTTAATTTAAAGTTTATTTATTTGGCCTTGCCTCACCCTGCATTATGCTGAAAGCTTCATACATTCACATTTGCACTTCAACTTATTTTCTACTTTGTATTGTGTTGTGTATAAATGTTGTTGGAATTACGAGTGTTACGAGTATTGTTGTTGTTATATTATGTAGCCATTGCTGACTTGCTGCTGCTGCTGCTGCTGGCTGCTGTTGGCTGTCGTCGTTCGTAGCCATTGCTTTGTTTCTTTTATTTAAAGAACTATTATGACGTTTTTATTGTCATTGCGTATGCGTCGTGTGTGTGTGTGTGTGTGTTTGCTGCGTTAGTTTGGTTGACTTTCTTTCCTGCAACTTGTTATGACCACCGTTCGTTCTCCCGTTCTCCCGTTCCACCGTTAACATCAGTTGAACACCGGAAATAATTTATATTTTTTAACAATAACAAAATGTGCGCACGAGTTGCATGACACAATGTAAATTTTTAAACAATTTCGCATTGTCATTGAAGTTCATTTATTGTGTGTGCTGAAATGTTTATTGTGTGTGCATATATCCATATGTGCGAATGTGCGAATGTTCGAAAGTGTGTTTGTATGTGCTTGTGTATTTGTTTACTTGTGTGGCTGATGTTTGATTGGAAGTGTTTAAAGTAGCTTTCAACATATCAAGAACTATTTAAACAGAGCGGGAGTCCTTGAAGTGGGAATTCGTATTTGCATATGATTTTGTTGAATTTGAATTTTATTTGATTGTTGCAATGAATTAATCGAGTAAAGAATAATTAAACACATAGACGATAATTGTGTAGATTCTATTTAATTGCAATTGGCATACAATTGCTCAAAGAAAATAATACAAATAAATCTCAAGATTTTTAAAATATTCAAAGTTTACTTTTCATTTAAGTTCATATTAATTTACATTCATACCTGAACGTTTTAATAAGACATAATAATTAATTTAAAACGTTAAACTGCAATATTTATCAAAGTGTAAAGATTAGAGTGGCACAAACATTAACTATAAAAGTTGAAGAAGAGTCATCGTGAAACCACAAAGATTCAGAAAAGAAGACTCTTACGGAAAGAACATAAAAAATAGAATTTAATTAGCAGCGAAATAAAGGTGTAAAATGAATAAGAATGAACAAGAAGCCGAATATCTAATAATGTTAATAAACGGAAATCAGTTGAAAAACATAAATTATATAAAATTATACTGAATTATATATTATATTGCATTATTAGTATCATACTAATTTGATATTAGTAGTAGGATACTAAAGTGATACTAATATAATACTAATATGATATTTATTTTATACAAATATATTATAATATCACGATATTATTATGGTACTAATATGATACATATATGATACTAATGTGATTGTAGTATCATACTGATATGATACTTATATAATACTAATATGGTTTTAATATGATACTAATATGGTACTAATATGATAGTAATATGGTACTAATACGTTACTAATTTAAATGTGATATTAATATCACTAATATTATCATTATATCTTTATTAGTTTCTATTATTATTCTATCTTTATTAATCGTTATCATAATATACTAATATTATGTTATCAATATCATAAGATACTAATATGGTATGAATATTAGTGTAACATAAATATAATGATACTTTTAATAGACGATGATTCGTTAATTGCAGTCTCATAAACATATCTACTAATCACAATTTGTGATTTCTTGTCGTTTTACTGATGTTAGCCTTTAGATACCTTAAGATGTGAAATGACTAAAATTAAATTTATCCCTTTTAATTCGGATAACTTAATAGATCTTTCATCCTTACCGATAAACAGTTCGACAAGTTGTCAAAAAAGTACTTTAAATCACTAGTTAATTAGATTGATTTTTACACTAATTAGGTTTGATGATTCAATTAATTATTTTAATCTTCTTGAACGTGAATAGAACTTATGCGACTGATATGCTGTCATCAAAATGCGCATAAAACTAAAGACAACACATAGAATAACCCATTACTTTAAGGTAGTTTGATGTTGAAGAAGTGAATAATTGGAACAATTATGTACGTTGGAGAACGAAGAATAGTACAAGGAAAAAATGAACGATAGTTGTTGGAAAATATTTATACGTATTGGAGTTGATAATGCAAACAATCTTACATTTGCATTTATTTTCTTCTTCGAGATCCCTGAGGCAGAGGACGCCTATCATAAGAAACGATTATCATTTATTTGGTTTCGCTCTATACTGTTTTAGCGTAAAACTAGTAGTAAGTGAGTTTTGACTTGCGACTCCCAACTAAATTTAAAATTTGATACCACGAGATCCAAAGGCTAGCAACTTTGGGTGTTCTGTACGCTGAGTTGGTCCCATAAGGGAGTGCCACCGTAGGAGTTAACACCATAATTTAAGCCAGAAAAGTGTTAGCAAACACACTTTTGCTTAATGTGAAATCACATTTTTTCAATCGGTTGCTGTGACCCAAAAAATAGGAAATGTTAAGATGGACACATCTCATCAAAGAAGAAGGTTTACCCAAACAACTGACTTCAATTGATACCGGCGGAATTTCTTTGTAATGAGATGTTTATTTACTCTTCTTAATACGTGTGTTGAAAACATAGTGATGTCAAACTTTTATCACTTGTTACCACTGAAAACAACTATGCATTTCTTCCTTTTTATTCACAGAAGTGTCGGTTTTTAATACTATAACTTTTATCTGTATAATTAAATAATTATATATAAAAAAATAAAATAAAATTATTGTAATATCGTAATTGTGTCAATTTTATTCAAATAGTTGCCAGCCACAAATTTTCTGAAAATAAGTAAATAAATTGAACCATATTTTAAAGTAAATAGGTTGACCTGCAGACATGTGCCTGAATGCAAACCGTGATTTGCGGTACGGAATTGCTTGACACGAGAAATTTTATGAAAATAAAAAATTTAATAAATTCAGGATCCTACGCTTTAAGACCGTTTAAATGGATGAATAACCACCATTTTTTCTCTGAAAGTAGGTTTTTGGCACATTTTATTTTCTTTATGTGTGCAAGCTTAGCCATGCACAAAAGCACAAACCCACACAGTGACACCACAAGAGCTAAGCCAGTGAAAATATAATACAGAATGAGCTAGTACGTGCATGCTTTCACGCATAATCGTGCGTATGTGGCTCAGTAGGGACGTCTGTGCATGTCTGTGCAGGTTTGTGCATGTCTGTGCATAACTGGGCTTCACATAGCTGCCGAGTTAATAGTTCTCTGTGCTTGTTTATGCGTACATAACATTTGCTGTGAACGTTTTAGAATTTTTAAACGTCATACCACAACAGCCATCGCCGCCAGCTTAAATGAGAAAAAATTAAAGTTTATTTTTCACGCGAAATAAGTGCCTGTTAACCGCATACGTAATGAAAAATAAAATGCGATGGAATGCGGGCAATGCAAGCTTATACCTCACGCCTTTTGTACATACATATATGAATACAGATCCTTGCACATACGTACCAAAAAAATGTTATATGCAAGTATGTGTGTGCTAGGTTTTTCAATTATAATTTGCAGTGCTGGTAACTTCAAAACTTTAATTTTTTAATACGAGTTTAGCTGAGAAATTTTTATTAAATTAAGAAATTTTTTAAATGCAACCTTAAGAATTTCTATGTTCCACATAATTTTTATGCACAATCATTGCGAATTAAATTTGAATGCATTTAATATTTACAGTTAATCATATTTGTTGAAACAATATGAGGTTCCATCATTGAACGCGCCATCTGTGATGTCACTAGAAGTGAATGGTAGCCGAAGTCAATAACACCTCCGAAAATCTTCCGAAAATTAAGGAATATACAATTTATTTCATTTTATTCGGTCTAGACTTTCCATACACTCGTAACATTCGCTTTTATAATTCGACAAATAAAAAAAAATTATTTGTAAAGTTATTCTTTATACAGTCATTCTTTTTAAGCAAATCTATTTACTTTTGAAAATTACTTAAAAAGAAACTAGTTAAATCAATTTCATTATAAATCATATATTTTAAAATGTTCGAAGAGTAAACTACTAAATTCGTATCTCCAACAAAAAATACAAAATTTAAAAAATAGTCGGCTTCAAAATTTAAACACTAACCTTATAAAATGGAAAACGATCTTACTGAGGAAGATCTCGCCACTTTAAAAGAGTATTACAAAATATTTAGGGACAGTTCTACAGGTAATATAACGCTCGAGTCACTTCAAACTATTATGGCCTGTATGGGGCCAATAAAAACGGATGAGGAAGTGGCGTCGGTGTTCGCACAATATGATACTACTCAAAGAGGTTCCTTAACTTATGATGAACTCGTAGAGTGTATGAAGCAGGAACTGCATCAAACTCCGCACAGGGTCAGTTTAGAGGAAGAGTTCAAGAAACTTGATAAAAATAAAGATGGCTTTATTACTGCGGCTGACCTTCGAGAGGTTATAACCAATCTGGGACTAAATATTCCTGACGATGAGATAGAAGGTATGATTGCAGAGGCTGCCGGCACAGATGGACTAGTCGATATAGATAAATTCACCAAATTGTTCACTTTAAATTAATTTTGAAGCCGATATATTAAAAGAACAAAACTTTGGACTTTGGACAACAAAACAGTTACGTTTCTCCACAAAATACAATACCATATATTTTTCATCCAATAAAAACTATTTCAAATTTCGACATCTATATCAGATATGTTTTAATTGCTTTTATAGTATTCATAGTACGAAAAATGACGTTCTATACAACATATGTACTCCTAATCGTTAAAAACAATATCTGTAGTAAAAGAAGATCATATTATTATTTTTATTATTTTGAAAAGAAGGATGACGTATAATGTTATATTTGTGATATATAATATAAGATATTATATAAAACTACATATAAATCGAATTACGATATAAACTAAAATATTTTTTTATCTATTTTTTTTATCTATTTTTTTTATCTATTTTTTTATCTATTTTTTTTATCCATTTTTTTTATCTATTTTTTTTATATATATTTCATTTTATTTTATTTTAAAAATTGTAAGAACTTTCTGAATTCTGTGTAAGTCATTGCGAAGTTATATGTTGCTACTGGTATCAGTTACTTTAATCAAGTTATTGTATGTATTTGCACTGCTGCTTTTGGGTCAAGTGAAGAATAGAAGCATTAAGACACCCCATAAAGACACTAAATATTAGATCCTATCTAAATCTGTCAGTGCAATTCGAAAATAGTCATTTGAATAAGTGAATAATATCTTTGCTACTCCAACAAACACGTAGTAACAATTCACTCATGGCCAGTACCGTCCACCTTTTATGGAACTTGGACCTTTTTAGCAGCTATTGTTTTAGTTTAACCTTTGTTCAGTTTCGTTTAGCTCCCTTCGCGATTTGTGGAAGAAATTAATGTATTAAATTTTCTTCTTCTTTTAACTTAAAAAAGAAAGTTTAATTTTCGTTTGTAAACAACTTTATATGTATGGCTTAAAATAACATTATAATTAAGATTTTTGTTCGTTGTCGATATTAGAACTACTTAAATATTGGTCTTTCTTAAACATACATTTATGAGTTTTAAGTAAAAGTTTTAGCGAAGCGAAGAGCATTTCTTAGACCCAATTTACTAGAAAAAACCAACTCTTAGTTCCTTGTATTATGGAAGACTGTAGCGTACGCACATTTTACGCCAATAATACTTTAAGTTCTAATGCGAAGATGACTAAATAATGTTCCACGTCCAATAGTGCACCAGATTTTGATGGATGAGGATTATTTTTTTATTACAAGCAAAATAAATAGGATATAACTCAATAATATATATTACAAGCCCAGTTGGTATTTCATTTCCGTGCCTATTCTGAAAATATAAACAATATGTGTTCGAGAGAGTTTGGATGTGAAAAATTTTTGTGGTGGTCTCTTTAATATGTTAGTTGCTTCATAGATATTTTAAGTTCATCTTTTTTTTTGTATAAAAACTTCTTCAGTTGTTATTTATATTCAAATTTACCTAATGATATTAGTATTAGTATTTTTATTAATTATTAATTTTTATGTTGAGGATAGTTGAGTCAGTGCACTTGAGCACTTTTACTCTCTATTAACTACGCAGTTTCTTCATAACCTCCCTCTACGCCTTGACTGAATTATTGTTTATCACGTCATCAGACTAAGCAATTACTAATCTCAGATCTGCATACCTTCTCGAGGAGCCTGTGACCATTCTGAGATTTGATAACGCGGTGTTGATAAGCCTGTCGGTTTTCGTAAATAGTTTCAGGGCGTTATTCTTTTTGTATTTTTTGATCGGATCAATCTTGAGGTCTCTGAGGATGTCATTCGTCCTAATGTAGCATGGCACCTTGAAGAGTCTTCTTAAAGTCAGGCTTTGTACAATTTCTACCTGGCGAATATATGTGTAACATATATTATAATATAATATAATATATTATACGTACATATGTTATATATATTAAATATGTGTTATCATTTAAATGGGAGCTCTATGTTGATATAAAAATCTACTTTAAGGGTATCTGAAATCCGACAAAGCAAAACTAACTTCTTTTTATTCATATTTTATTCTTAGGTGTGGTCCTACCAGTCAGCAGATAAGATGTCACGGGGTGTGATACGTATCATCAAATTATATTTCGATAATAATAACACTTTGTATGACATTAATTTTGCATAAAACAACATGATTTTTGGATTTGCGTTTTGTGTCTTCGTCGCATCATTGGGCGCGGGTTATAACGCAATACTACGTTTTATCTGTTTGGGCATAAGGATTTCATAAGTATATTTTTTTTTTAAGTTCTGAAAAGAAAAAAGAACATTACTGTTTATTTTTAATTTATCTGTGCCGAGAGTGACGCGTCTTTATGGCGAAAAGCAAATATCCCAGAGTTAGACGGATTCGAATAGCAAAGAAAGCACAAGGACAAAAATTTATTTAATTTATTGAAATTTGACTGACCATACAAGGCTTTTTCGAATATTGCCAAGTACTCTTCATCAGTGGTTTTAGGAAATAATCGAATTTTTTAATTAGTTTATAGTCCATGTATAATTTATTTGGACTATGGATACTATAAAAGCAATTAAAACATATCTGATATAGATGTCAAAATTTGAAATAGTTTTTATTGGATGAAAAATATATGGTATTGTATTTTGTGGAGAAACGTAACTGTTTTGTTGTCCAAAGTCCAAAGTTTTGTTCTTTTAATATATCGGCTTCAAAATTAATTTAAAGTAAACAATTTGGTGAATTTATCTGTATCGACTAGTCCATCTGTGCCGGCAACCTCTGCAATCATACCTTCTATCTCATCGTCAGGAATATTTAGGCCCAGATTGATTATAACCTGTCGAAGGTCAGCCGCAGTAATAAAGCCATCTTTATTTTTATCAAGTTTCTTGAACTCTTCCTCTAAACTGACCCTGGGCGGAGGTTGATGCAGTTCCTGCTTCATACACACTACGAGTTCATCATAAGTTAAGGAACCTCTTTGAGTAGTATCATATTGTGCGAACACCGACGCCACTTCCTCATCCGTTTTTATTGGCCCCATACAGGCCATAATAGTTTGAAGTGACTCGAGCGTTATATTACCTGTAGAACTGTCCCTAAATATTTTGTAATACTCTTTTAAAGTGGCGAGATCTTCCTCAGTAAGATCGTTTTCCATTTTATAAGGTTAGTGTTTAAATTTTGAAGCCGACTATTTTTTAAATTTTGTATTTTTTGTTGGAGATACGAATTTAGTAGTTTACTCTTCGAACATTTTAAAATATATGATTTGTAATGAAATTGATTTAACTAGTTTCTTTTTAAGTAATTTTCAAAAGTAAATAGATTTGCTTAAAAAGAATGACTGTATAAAGAATAACTTTACAAATAATTTTTTTTTATTTGTCGAATTATAAAAGCGAATGTTACGAGTGTATGGAAAGTCTAGACCGAATAAAATGAAATAAATTGTATATTCCTTAATTTTCGGAAGATTTTCGGAGGTGTTATTGACTTCGGCTACCATTCACTTCTAGTGACATCACAGATGGCGCGTTCAATGATGGAACCTCATATTGTTTCAACAAATATGATTAACTGTAAATATTAAATGCATTCAAATTTAATTCGCAATGATTGTCCATAAAAGTTATGTGGAACATAGAAATACTTAAGATTGCATTAAAAAAATGTCTTAATTTAATAAGAATTTCTCAGCTAAACTCGTATTAAAAAATTAAAGTTTTGAAGTTACCAGCACTGCAAATTATAATTGAAAAACCTAGCACACACATACTTGCATATAACATTTTTTTGGTACATATGTACGAGTAGCTTAGAAGTCGTGCCTGTCAAATTACTGTTTATTATTTATTATTAAATTATTTAAAAAAGTGAATATTTATACATATATGCGTATGCGTATGTACCACACATAAATTTTTTCTTATTGAAAATCACACAGAATTCGATTTTTTAGCCAAAACTTTTTTCATTTGAATTTTGCATAAAAAGGAATTTAAAGGAATGCATATATTAGCCTTATTTTGTTAACAAAATTAAAAAATAAAATGAAATTATGGGCTGAAAAAATAGCTGCAAATCAAAACAAACTTACCGAAATACCAAAACACATTGGAGCCAACCTTAAAGCGGGGAAGCCGAGCGAGAATGTTGCTTGCAATGCGTGCGCGCTCACTTCCGTGCCGCCGCATTTGCTGCCAACAAGTCCAAAATTATGCCGAAATCGGGCTGTGACCCATGCGTAACCCTCCATGAATCCAATCATTTTTATATTTTTTAAACTTTATGCCATTTTACTTGTGTTTTGTTTGGAAGCATAATGTATGTACGAATGAAAAACTTTGTTTTGCTAACGTTTTTAGGTTCTTTTTTGCATGCGAAATCAATTTTATTGGTGTTAGCTCTGTTCCGCTCCGTAAAGTATGCTTTTCGAAAGATACGTTACGTTCTACGCCTCACTCTGGAGTTGGAGTTGAGTTTGTTTTTGTTTTTCAATTTTTCGATAGAGACTTTTTATGCATATATATATATATCCGTATATATCCGTATATATCCGTATATATCCGTATATTTATTTAATTTTTTCCCTCTTTTGTTTTTGTATAAATTTTCCTAAATTAAGTTGATCTTGCACAAACTTTACTTTTTATTCGGTAACAGTTTCGGTCTTAAATTTAAATTTTTGTGTTATTTTGTGTTGTGTTGCGTTGTGTTGTGCTATGCCGTGTATTTATTGTACTCCTTGAATTCTTGAACATTTTTTTGTGGAACATTTTTATTCAAATTTAAATTTTGCTTATCAAAAACTTTGAGGCAAGCTTGAGTTCTGTTGTCCGTGATTTTGGGTATCACTAGTGAGTCTTTATTTTGTTATAATGCTGCCCCTTTTACGGTTTTTTCGCCATTTTTTCTTGAGTGTATTTAACATTTTGCGTACGCCACACAGCTGTTGTATTTTATTTCATTAAAGCGTAATTATTCTATTTAAAAGTTTCTGCCACTTATAGATTTTAATTAAAAACTG